AAGAGACTTATTATTTATCGGATTTGACCCTTTAAACACCTGATAATAACATATATGATACTGAATCAAATATATATCACTACGCCTCCCGGCAACCTCGTTAGAAGGGTTAAAAATATATATATATATATATATCATATATATCACTGATCAAATTTTTCTCGAGATGTTGAAAGCCCGAAATCTCATTTTCTCTTGTCAGATCCAAACGACTTCTATACATTTTGGATTCATATGTTTATTTCCAATTAATTCCTCTCACAGTGATTATTACATATTATATCGTTTATTTATCAATATGGCATTTTTTTATGATTTAATTTGATCGTGACCAAAATTTCATGAATGGTATTAAAGTCAGTTGGGTTAAACAGCTATGGTTAAACGATTAAGGAATAAATCGCAGCTGAAGGGCAGAAAATTATTATTACAGTAATTTCATATAGTGACCGTGATATATTAATCAAATTTCAATAATTCCACCACTATTAGAACAGAATAGTTTGCTATAAACTTTCATTAGAAGCATAGGAAGGTTTGCACTATAAAAAACTATAATAACTTCCGATAATTTTATATTCTTCAACCGATTTGTCTTTTAATTGTTAAATTTTTTAGACGGTTCCACCTGAATAAAACTAAATTAAGCACGGTCATTTGGACGTGCCTTACTAATAGTCTGTTTAAAATTTTATTTTGGATTTCGGACTAGTAGTCATCTGGACTGGCAACCTTATACACATTTTCGGTATGCAAAGTGCACCAGTGGCATATATAATTTTATTATGAAGATTTAGAGTTAGGGAGCAGTTATAGGCTAAGATAAGGGTTAGATACAAAGGTCCAAATTTTGGCCAGAATAAGATTTTGGGAGTTCTGACCATTTTTACTTAAAACACCCAACCTAATTACTTACCGCTGGTGTGTTTTAGTACTTGAATTTTTGATTATTGGATCGAGAAACAACAGCATAAATAGTAATGAAGCTGATATTGCTGAGTTTTTAACAATAAAGTTATGAAGATACAAGTTTTTATTATAGTTTATTGATTAAGGAATAAATGAAATTTCATACATTAACTGACACATGCAAAATGATGTGTAGTATACACTACTTCGAGAGATGGATGGCAATGTTCCAATACTGATGTAGAATAAGACTGGTTATGTGTATAAACTTGATTTGATTAGCTAAAAATTTTAGAGATTGCTAACGAATTATGGAATACGCATTATGTACTAGGAAAATAGAAACTATTAAGGTCCGAAGAGCTATATTCGAATTACAGAATTAATCTTTGCTGTTGTTTTCTAATCAACAAATTGGGATGATGCTGGAATTTGGATGATGCTGAAATCAAAAAAATTCTATTGGTTAACCACAATTTCAGCATCATAATCTAGTGTTCTTCAGACAATAACAATAATAATTACAGAATTATATATTTATAAGTTGAAACGGAATCTAAGTATATTTAGAATTTCTTATCTAAATTAAGGTTAAGTGATAGGTTTAGATAAGTTCTACCTTAAATATTAATCGAACTAACTACTAATCCTTGATTTTTAGATAAAATGTATGATAAATTAGGGTTCTGTTTCAAAAAAATCTCTTAATATGCCAAGAGAAAATTGTTATTTTCTTGTTTTTACTCGGTGTTGCTCAAGTCCGGATATAAATAATTAGAAATTGCAAAGGGTGGTTACGTGTTGAAATCTATCGTTTAATGCCGGCCTAGCCAATTCGTAATTAAGTATCCAAGCTCCAGTTTCCAATCTTGTTAAACAGTAAATTATATACATTAAAAATCGTAAATTATATGTAAATTATATCCGTATCTAGACTTACCGGACTTATTTATATCCGGATTCAAACTCTCAATGACACGATTTTGTAAAAATTGACGCGAGAGTAAGTAGATCTTAGTTGAAAAAAATATATATTTATACATCGCTTCTTAACAGTTGACCAGAAGTAGAGGTATGATCCGGTCGAAAAATAAGTATTCGAATATTCATTCGTTCAATCTTTTTAATATCCGAATATTCATCAAATGAATATTCGAATATTCACTGAATATTCATTGAATATTGATGATCATGAAATAGAGTTGTTGAACAATAATGAATTAAGAGATTGAATAATTGATAGTTTAAATACACAAGCACATTAAAATAAATAAATCAATAGAGAATCTTCTACTTAGTTAATAAGGATTTATCTTGCTCATCTAATCAGTATATAAGATTGAGCATGACATACACCCAATCTTGCATTTAATTGGTCGATTAGATAGTATATATTCATTGAATATGCAATGAATTATTTGGTGAAAAGTTTTTATATTCGAATATTCAATTCAGTAAAACAATTATATATTCGGATATTTGAATATTCATTGAATATTCGAATATACAGTACTATTCATCGGATCAGACCTCTAATTTGAAGATCAGGTGTAACATATAAATTAATTTCGTGTAACAAAAATAAAGAAAATTTTAAATTTTCATATCTTTATGAAACTACTTTTTGAGCTCTAACAAAAAAAATTCCCTGCAAAATTTTGGTATACGTATGTACAGTATGATAAGCCGAGTATTAATATTTGTACATATATCAGATATCGGTATACAAAATACGTATATCAATACATTACACAGATCTACAAATTATAGTAATTATTATATGCATGCGATGAATTAGCACATCGCAGGGTGCTACACAAATATTTATCCTATATATTTATTATATCCCGGATTAGAGCTTTTTCTCTACAAAATGATCATTGCTCCTTTTGCTCTATTTCTTGCATCCGTTCAGGTAGAAGCCACTGGATGAGTTTTCCTATGCATCGCTTATTTATTAATTCATCTACTATTGTTGGTTTTATCAGTCCGTTGTACAAGTTCTTCTCATATGCCTTTCTGGTTATGTGGTCGCAAAACTAGGAATAATCACTTCAAGGATTCAAGAGGTTAATATTAAAAAATAACGTCGTATTAAAAATTTGCGTTATATCAGATTAATTATAATGTTAATACTCTTAACATAGCTTTCTTCCTAATCCTGGTGAATCTCAGTATTTAAATTTTGATCTGACGCAAATTTTAATTTGACTTACAAATAACATAAATATTTTATGACAGGGTGAAGCCCGCGCTATGTAGATCACATGAGGGTGAATTAACGTTAACATATAAAAAACACTATGCTAACGTGGACTTCAATTATCAAAGCGGGCTTTACTAGAATTCAGTGCAGGTTTCACCCTAACATAATATTTTTATAAAGATTACTCAGTTTTTTTTTTTTTTTTTTTTTTTCAATGCATCGACACAGAGCCTCTCCAAATTAATAATAAAAATATTGATGCCATGTTTCTTGTTTTCGGGCATTGCCGCTAACATTGACTATGAGGTGTTAATACGACTTTGGCCTATACCTACTTTTTATCTTACCTTCGTAACAATTAGTGGTATTCTCGGTATATTTGGAGGGAAATTATTAAACTTGTCTATTTCAGACACAAAATTCGTAATGACTGGTATCATGTTTAATGATATAGTAACCCTTTCGCTAAGTATATTAAAAGGTATGAGTCATACTAATGCAATACAAATTTTATCTTGGGGAGATGATGATACACCTTCTAATTCGGTTAAGAGGGGAACTTCTTATATATTATTATCCTCTCTGTTTGGTAACTTGCTGCGGTAAATAGTCTCGATTTTTGTGCTACTTTTTATAATGACAATTGGTATGCTGGACTGATGAAGGCAGCCCATTCTTTTAAACTTACGTACAAATTCAGACTTTTTGTACGGGTAAATCAACGAT